ACGAGCCAGCCCCTCATCCCACTGCCCTCTCCAACTCTCCTGCCCCCCACGAGCCAGCCCCTCATCCCATGCCCTCTCCAACTCTCTGCCCCCCAGAGCCAGCCCCTCATCCCATGCCCTCTCCAACTCTCTGCCCCCCAGAGCCAGCCCCTCATCCCATGCCCTCTCCCCCGATCACCTTACCGGGGATCTGTCCCATCGCAAGGGGGCCGCCAGCGCGGGGCCGCCCAGGAGCAGCAGAAGCCCCCAGCGAAGGCAGGCCATGGCTCGGGGCAAGGCAAATCCCAGAGGCAGCGCCCCAGCCCCGGGCTCCCGGTTTATAAAGCCGGAGCGAATCCGATTCCCCCCCCGCCCCGCATGTCAAGCCGCTCCGCCAGCCACGTGGAGCCATCGGGCAACAACAGCTGGGGGCGGGGAGCCACGCCCCCTTTTGCACAAGCCACGCCCACCGCCTCCACCCACCGGGGGGGGGGACACTTACCTCCGCCCCCCCCCTGCGAGGCTCCCGCAGCGTCTGATCCCCTCTCCCTAAGGCCTGGGGAGTTTAATGCCCCTCACAGCAGTGGCACCGCGAGACCGGGCGGCACCCAGCGGCATGGGTCCCAGGAGATTAGCCAGCCACGGCGGGCGAGGTTAGGTGGCCCTTGTGGTCACGGCTAACCCGCTCCCCAGCGCTCAGGGGACAGTGTTTTCCTCAGCCCTGAGCGCTGTAGCGAGGTTGGTGTCATTTTGAAGTGTAGACCAGGCTCTAGGTTAGACAGGCAGGGCAGGGTCCACGAGAGGGGGGGGAAGCTGCTACAAATTACCAGGGGCCGGCGGTCTGGAAGGGGGCCCAGGGCCCGGCTTCGTCAGCCCTGTTTAACCGGTCTGCCCTTGCTGGGGGGCCCAAAAATTTTTTTCGGCGGGGCCCAAACCTGCTCTCGGCAGCCCTGAGGCAGTGTGGCAGGGGGCTGTAGAAGATCAGGGTTGGAAAGGACCTCAGGAGGTATCTAGTCCAACCCCCTGCTCAAAGCAGGGCCAATCCCCAAATTTTTACCCCAGTTCCCTAAATGGCCCCCTCAAGGATTGAACTCACAACCCTGGGTTTAGCAGGCTGATGCTCAGACCGCCATGACTCGGACTCCTAAGTGCAGCTGTGATACACATACCTACGACTGATCAGGGACTGGAGGATGGCGAAGCTAGCCCAGCCCCAAGAGGGCTTCTCCTGGGGCGACCCAGGCCAGGACGCTGCAGCCTTGCCACGGCTCTTGGAGGAACCGCTCTAACACCGGCTGTTCGCGTTGTCCGGATTAGGCCTCGGCTACACCTAAAAATGAGATCGGCCTAGCTCCAAACCTCAGGGAGATGAAAAACGGTGTTGTTTGTTCGGTCAGGGCCGGCTCTATGAACTGCGGGGCCCGATTCAAATACCCGGCGGCGGTCCGGGGCTTCGGCGGCACCGAAGGACCCCCCGCCACCAGAATGCCGCCGAAGACCCCCACAGCGGACCCCCCCCCCCAGCTGGGTGAGTAAAAAAAAACAAAAATTAAAAAAGCACCTAAGGCGTGGGGCCCTCCTAGGAGCGGGGACCGATTCCGGGGAATCGGCCTAAAACCGGCCCTGAGTTGGTCGACCTCCTCGCCACTGTAGATGCGGTCAGGTCAACCGAAAAATTCTTCCATCCACCGATCTCCTGCCTTTGAGGTAGGTGGATGAGCGACAGCCATGGACAAACTGTCTGGGACGTAGGCAAGGTTATACTACAGCTCCCCAGGGCGCAACTACCGGACCGTAGCTGTTCTCCTGTAGCCACTGCAGATGGGTGGATATAGGGATAGATAGAGGGGTGTGTGGGGGATGGATAGATAGAGGGGTGTGTGGGGGATGGATAGATAGATAGAGGGGGTGCATGGGGATAGACAGATAGATGTGTAGACAGAAAGACAGAAATTCTAAGTCATAAATAGATAACCCCCAGTAGATTTTAAAGGGTTTCTTATCCTACACCTCTGTTTTGCACCTGGTTTTAAACAAAACTTCCTGTCATTGGAAGACAGTTAAAACACAAACACTTTCCTCCTTTCCCCCCACCCCCCGATACCCCTCCCCGAGGTGGGCCTGGAACCCAGGAGTTGCCGGTGGCACCCAGCAAACCAGAGGCCCCACCCTGCCCCCCTGTCTCAGGTCTCGCACCCTGACAGACAGGCAGTGAAGAGCAGACCCGGGCCCAGATCCTTAAAGCAATCGAGGTGCCCAACCTTGGATCACTTCCACTGGCTGTTAGGAGCCAGAGGGGCCCGGCCCAGGGCTAGCTGTCCATTTGAAGAGGTGTGGGGGGGCATTAAGCTAGAGTCCAGGAGCTCCCCACTATTCATGCCCTGTGGGAGGAGAGGGGTGTCTAGTGGTTAGAGCAGGGATGGGGGGGAACTTGAAAGTCAGGACTCCTGGGTTCTATTCCCGCTTCTGGGGGGGTCCAGTGGTTAGAGCAGGCGGTGGGGGGAACTGAGATCAGCTCCCACACCATATAAACCAGCTTCTTAGACAATCTCCGGCCCAGTAACCTCACCTGCTGGGGTGACCCGCCGAGGTGCTGTTCAATGCTACAGCCACAAACCCGGCTGGGGTCCCTCAGGCTGTGGGGAGGGGAGGGAACTGCTTAGACCCCCCAGTTACAGCCCCCACCCTCCAAGCTTTGCTCAACTCAAGTTGACTGAGGTTATTTCTTCAGGGGGTCACAGACCCCCTTGCCCCCATCAGCTTGTGTGTGACTGACAGTCCCCAGTGGCCAGACAGCTGCACTGCGTCCTCCTCTACCAAAGAGGCACAACATCAACTGCGTGTTGCTTGTTTGATTTGTGAAGTGGGGTTTAGGGGCTGGGGAGGGGCGCTGGCCTGAGAGCCCTGGGGACGGTCAGCGGCTGTTTAGCCACAGAACAGGGACACCTCAGGCAGCAGCAGGACAAACCTTGGCTGTGAAACGCCCTTGGGATACTCAAGGGATGGATCAGTGGGCATGTTGCACTCAGATGCAGCCGCCTCTGGGGTGGAGCCATGGGGGGGGCAGTTTATACAGCATAGTATCCTGCACCCTGCACTGAGATGCAGCCACCTCTGGGCTAGGAGGTGGCAGCTGTTTATACAAGGAGCCTTCACCCACTGCTGAGGTGGGGTGCAGCCACCTCAGGGGAGGGGCATAGCAGCTGTTCAAGCAGGGAGCATACAGACAGCACTGAGATGCAGCCACCTCTGGGGTGAGGAGCAGCAGCCCTGTGTGCAGCTGCACAACGCTGCATGCCAAGTTAGGACAGGAAGGGAAGGAGAAGGCTGTAACCGGCTCAAAGTGCAGGAGAGATTTAAGGATGCAAAATGGAATCACCCGCATGAGAATTGGGGCTGGACACTGGGGCTAGCCCCCCAACGCTTGGGGGACGGGCATGGGGATCGAAGGAGCTCAGGCCCCCATTCGTACATCTCCCTCGACAGATGGATGGCTTTGTCCCGGAGCACCGGGGCCAGCGGGACTGCAAGTGAGCGCCTCCCCCTTCTCCACGCACCAGGCCCCCCCGACACTGCATGGAGGGCCACAGGGACTGAAGGGAGAGCGCCCCCTACTGGGGCACCCCACTTTGCTCCCGAGCATTGCACTGGGGCCAGCAGCACTGCCAGGGGAGCCTCCCCCGGCACAGAAGCAGCCCAGCATGGGAGAGCACCTAGGAAGGTGAGCAGGCGGGAGGTTGCAAGACAACAGGCTACTGCATTGAGACCTGCTGAAATGCCCCAGTGCAAACACATATCCCTGACAGCTAACTGACCCCCTCTCAGCCAAGCTGCAGGCAACGGCCCGCTGCCATAAACTGTTATAGGAAGTGGTGTGAGTGCTGCACTCCGCCCCAGAGGCAGCTGCATTTCAGCCACAGAAAAACTCATTGAGGCAGGACACCTGGGTTCTATTCCTGGCTGGTCACACCCCCATTTTGTGCCTCAGTTCCCCCTCCCCTCCTTTGTCCATTTAGGCCCAGCTCCTCAAAAAGAACTTGGAGGCTTAATTCACATTGCCGGCAGCTGGGCCTAAGCCCTCGGGGGCCAGGGCTGTCCCTCACCCTGCATATGTACCGTAATACGCCGCATAGCAACCACAAACCCTCCCACCCACGCTCCGCCAGGCCTTGCGTTTTCAGACGTTCTCCTTTTTTATTTAAAGAAAGAGTAACCAAGCGGGCCAAAGTCCTTTTTATAGCCCTCCCTTTACAGGGGAGAAGGTCATATAAATATATAGCCCCTGACGAGGCAGAACGTTCAGGAGTTTAAGGTCACTTCCCCTTTAAACAAGGATTCCCACGAGCTGGGTTCCTGGTCCTAGAGAGAAGTGGTAAAGCTCACCGCACGTTATTGGAACAACCTCAGATTGTGAGGGGAACTAACGGGCTGGTTAGTTACATTCCTCTGGGTATGGGGGTGTGTGGGGGGCGTCTGGTGCAGCCCTTGGGATAGAAGGTGATTCAGGGCAAGCTGCCTCTCCTCTCCCCCCCCTCCCACCATGCCCCTTGGGCGATATATGCCAGCCCTGCCCCGGAGAGGATATTGGATTGATTTTCCCCCTGCCGCCCGGCTGAGTTTGCCCGCAAAGCGGCTGCTCTTCTGACCCTTTCCCACTGGGCTGCAGCCTCCCAAACGTGTATGGCACAGGACCCCCCACCACCTCAGGCAGCCGGCTAGAGCCGCACGGTTCCTGCGCTCCGGACCGCAGCGTCCCGAGCCACCCGCCCCGGCCCCGGGCTGCAGCCGGGAGCCAAACTGACCAACGCGGCCCCAAGGCTCAGAGAGTTCCAAGGGAAGGAAAGGCCGCCCCGGCTTGGGACACCTACTCCCCCGAGCTGTGCCCTGCAAAGATGGGGATGCCCCAGCCATGGTAGGATTGTCCCCTCCAGTTATAAGTCAATGGGGCTTCTACTCTTTCCGCTGGCCGCTCCAGGCCTGTGTGCTCCGACCCTTGGGAAGTTTGAGTTTGTTTTTTCCCCAGGCGTCCCAAGATATTAGGACCCGGGAGGCTCTGGGGAGAGTCCGGCCTCAGTCCCGAGGTTGCTGGACTTTGGATACCCGGACTGGACGCTCCCATCCAGGTAGCCTCTGATTGCACCGACTCTCTACCGGCCTTATATGGGTTCCTGAGCAGGAGTTGGGCCGTCGCCCTCCAACGGGACTTCCGACTCCTCTCCCTTCAGCTTGTAAACGAAGCAGCTGGAGCCGCAGTGGGATTTGAGGGACGCCGAGCGGATCTGCTGGGGGCGGCTGTCCCCCGCCAGGAGGCGGGAGGTGCTGTCCGTCACCAGGAAGAGACCATAGGCCTCCGGGTTGGAGACGCCATATTTCTTGCTGCATATCACGCACACTGAGGCCGCTGTCATGTGGGCGGGGACGGGGATGGCCTTCTGGTTCGCAAAGGGCTCTTGGAAGGAGACGTAGAAGATGTCCTGAGAGAAGGAGAGGGGGAAAAAAGATAAATCAAGCAGACCAGAGGCTATGGTGATGGGCACCCTGTACATACCATAGACAGATCAGATTACAGAGAGAGTGGGTAGGGCACTGGACTGGGACTTGCAAGATCTGGGCTCTATTCCTGCTGAGTGATCTTGGACAAGTCCTGTCCCCGTTCTGTGCCTCAGTTTCCCCTCCCACCCTTTGTCTAGGTAGGAGGTGCTAAAGGAGCACTCAAGGACGATAAGGCCATTGCAGAGAAACTAAATGAATTCTTTGCATCGGTCTTCACGGCTGAGGATGTGAGGGAGATTCCCAAACCTGAGATTCCCAAACCAGATCTGAGGAACTGTCCCAGATTGAGGTATCATTAGAGGAAGTTTTGGAACAAATTGAGAAATTAAACAGCAATAAGTCACCAGCACTAGATGGTATTCACCCAAGAGTTCTGAAGGAACTGAAATGTGAAATTGCAGAACTACTAACTGTCATCTGTAACCTATGATATAAATCCGCTTCTGTACCAGATGACTGGAGATAAGCTAATGTGATGCCAATTTTTAAAACGGGCTCCAGAGGAGACCCCAGCAATTACAGTCCAGTAAGCCTGACTTCTGTATCGGGCAAACTAGTTGAAACTATAATAAAGAACAATATTGGCAGACATATAGATGAAGATAATTTGTTGAGGAAGAGTCAACATGGTTTTAGTAAAGGGAAATCATGCGTCACCAATCTACTAGAATTCTTTGGGAGTCAACAAGCATGTGGACAAGGGTGATCCAGTGGAGATAGTGTACTTTGATTTTCAGAAAGCCTTTGACAAAGTCCCTCACCAAAGGCTCTTAGCAAAGTAAGCTGTCATGGGATAAGGGGGAAGGTCCTCTCATGGATCAGTAACTGGTTAAAAGATAGGAAACAAAGGATAGGAATAAATGGTCAGTTTTCAGAATGGAGAGAGGTAAATAGTGATGTCCCCCAGGGGTCTGTTCTGGGCCCAGTCCTATTCAACATATTCATAAATGGTCTGGAAAAAGGGGTAAACAGTGAGGTGGTAAAATTTGCAGACGATACAAAACTACCCAATAGTTAAGTCCCAGGCAGACTGCGAAGAGCTACAAAAGGATCTCTCAAAACTGGGCGACTGGGCAACAAAATGGCAGATGAAATTGAATGTTGATAAATGCAAAGTAATGCACCTTGGAACACATATTCCTAACTCTACATATAAAATGATGGGGTCTAAATTAGCTGTTACCGCGCAAGAGAGAGATCTTGGCGTCATTGTGGAGAGTTCTCTGAAAACATCCACTCAATGTGCTGCGGCAGTCAAAAAAGCGAACAATGCTGGGAATAATCAAGCAAGGGATAGATAATAGGACAGAAAATATCCTGTTGCCTCTATATAAATCCATGGTACGCCCACATCTTGAATACTGCGTGCAGATGTGGTCGTCCCATCTCAAAAAAGATATATTGGAATTGGAAAAGGTTCAGAAAAGGGCAACAAAAACGATTAGGGGTATGGAACGGCTTCCGTGTGAGGAGAGATTAATAAGACTGGGACTTTTCAGCTTGGAAAAGAGACGGCTAAGGGGAGATATGATTGAGGTCTATAAAATCATGACTGGTGTAGAGAAAGTAGATAAGGAAGTGTTGTTTACTACTCATAACACAAGAACTAGGGGTCACCAAATGAAATTAATAGGCACCAGGTTTAAAACAAATAAAAGGAAGTATTTCTTCACACAACACACAGTCAGCCAGTGGAACTCCTTGCCAGAGGATGTTGTGAAGGCCAAGACCATAACAGGGTTCAAAAAATAACTAGATAAATTCATAGAAGATAGGTCCATCAATGGCTATTAGCCAGCATGGCCAGGGATGGTGTCCCTAGCCTCTGTTTGCCAGAATCTGGGACTGAGTGACAGGGGATGGATCACTTGATGATTCCCTGTTCTGGTCATTCCCTCTGGGACACCTGGCATTGGCCACTGTCGGTAGACAGGACACTGGGCTAGATGGACGCTTGGTCTGACCCAGTAGGGCCGTTCTTCTGTTCTTTTGTCTATTTAGAGTGTAAGCTCTTTGGAGCAGGAGCTGCCTCGGACTGTACAGCGCCCGGCACGGCAGCGGCCCCATCTCAACTGAGGCCTCTAGATGCTACCGTAATACACCTAATAACCAACCACAGGTGGATCAAGAGAAAGACAGTCAACCATTCGAGGCAGCCGTGACTAACTCATTAACGTTTACAAACTGGATAACTTTACATAGAGTGAAGCTTTGTTACTTGGCTTTTCGTCATCACCATTCTCTCACCGAATAAGGGTGCTGTGCCTTTAAGAAGGTGGGGCTCTACGACCCTGACTCCTGGGAGGAGCTGTGTTTATATAAACAAGGCCAGACACATGGCTGGTAGCTACACTCAAATTCAACTCTTCGGGCCCGCCTCTCGCTGGGCTGCTCATATAAACAGGATGGCGGGAGAGGCTAAAACTCAGACCCCTCCGTTCCCAAAGCACTGGCAATGAAGGAGAATCTCCCTTAGCTTTTCATGTTGGGTCTATGACACACGCACAGCTGAGCAATTCCATCTCCATGTGGAGGGGGAAGAGGAATGCCGCATAGACCGGCGCGACTGCTCATTACAACACCCAGAAGCCCGTTAGTCCGTCCAGCCCCAAGGGCTTCCCCAAAATATGGGTCTGTAGAACGCTCGACTCTGAACCTGTCACTCCGGTTTACGGGCAAGCAGCAGCACTACGTGGCGCCGATCGGCCCCAGAGGTAGGGGGCACCGCCCATCCGGAGTACAAAGTTATTAGCTAGCTTATATACATGTTCTGAAACACAATGAGAACCCACTTCTCCGTAGTATTACGCACTTTGGGACTGGTTCCTTGGGATCCCAGATTGCCAGTTCACGCACCTGCTGTGCACGGCGCACTCTCCTCCTGTCTTTTTTCCTAACTAGCTACGCATTTGACACGTTCCCAAGGCGACCGTGAATTCATGCTTTCGTTCACGGTTGCGGGTCCTTGCTCAGAATAAACCGATGACCCCATTTTTTTCCACAGATGGGGAAACTGAGTCACAGAGAGGCGAAGGGACTGACCCCAAAGATCACCCAGCAAGTCAGGGCCAAAGAACCCAGGCTCCCTGTACCCCCTGTTGTAACCAGTAGACCATGCTATCCTCCTAGACCCAGTGATAGAACCCAGAAGTCCTGACTCCCATCCTTCCCCCGCTCTAACCACTAGACCCCACTCTCTTTGCAGAGCTGGGCATAGGACCCTGGAGTCCTGTCCCCCAGTTCCCCCCCACTCTAACCACCCCCGCCAGAGGCAGGTAGAGAACCCAGGCGCCCCCCGAACCCCTCTTAGAACGGTGACCTCCCCGGAGCAGCTGACCCTACCTGGGAGCGGCGCCGGCTGTGTTGGTTGTGGTGGATGGTGCGCCGGCGCTGCCACCGGTGGATGGAGTCCTGCGCTTCGATGCTGATCTGCCGGGTTACCATGGCTGACTGGAAGTTGCTGATGTGGTAAAGAGCCCCGAACCAGGTGGTGAGGTAGTAGCCGCCTGCAGGAGAGGGGGAGGAACGCGGGGCTCAGACGTCGGGGGCCCGTGGGCATGCCTGTCGCCGCTAGGGGCTGGCGGACAGAGAGGATAAAAGGCCTACTACTACTGCCGGCGAGGGGAGACTCCCTCTACAGTCTCCATGGCCTATTTGCTTCTCACTCGCTGTCTTGAGCTGCAAGGCAGCCGGATAGCGCCAGCTTCCCCGCCAAGTCCGGCGAGACCCCACAAACTCAGCTCAGCCAAGGAGCCATCGGGGGCTGCCCAGGGCACAGTTCGACCTCAGTGCCTGGCTCCCAACCCCATGAGCCACCGGGTCGGCCAGCCCGGCTGCAGGCTCACCCCTAGCGGGGGCGTCCCAGGGCAGCCTGCAGGTCCCCAGCCCAGCTGGGGCAGGACGGGGCCAGGGCTCTGACCTTCTCCCTGCAGCTGGCTGGGGTCCAGCAGCTCCATCATGTACTCCACGTCCAGCTGCACCGAGACGATGTCGCACTTCACCAGGACGTAGGTCAGCACCGGCAGGAAGTCGTCCGCCCCGTAGACCTCTGAGCAGAGAGAGACACGTGGTGAGAACGCCCCCCGTGGGGCCAGTCCCAATACCCTGGGGGGGCTCGATCCCACCCCCCACCCCCGTGAGGCCAGTCCCAATACCCTGGGGGGGAGCCTCAATCCTCCCCCCGCAGGGGCCAGTCCCAATTCCCTGGGGTGGGGGTCATCCCATCCCCCCTGCAGGGGCCAGTCCCAAGACCCCAAGTTACAGGATGTCCACAGTATCCCACACAATCCCCCCCGCCCTGAAACAGAGGCCCATCAAGGCGGGGGGCGGAGATGGCAGCTCAGAAATAATTCACAGGGGCAGGGGCAGACACGGCTGTCTCAGGGAGGGGGCAGGACGCCATCTTGGGGGGCGGCGAAGTGGGATCCCAGGTGGTAGCGGGGATTCCCCCGGAGCTGAGGGCAGGTTTCCCTGGCAGCCCTGGGCAGCCTCGTGCTGGGCCCCCCCGCCCCCGGGCAGCCTCCCCTACCCTTGCCGCCCGTGCCGTGGTTCATGGCCTCGTAGATCAGCTTGCAGGCCTTGAGCAGCTGGGCCTCCTTCTTCTTGGGCGAGTAGGCCTGGTGCATCTGGAGCAGCTTGGCCTGGATGCGCTCGAGGGCCGGGGCGTCGGGGACGCTGGCCGTCACCCCCAGCTCCGCCAGGCTCTGTCGGCTCATGGTCAGCTGGTGATCGCGCAGTTTCTGCAGGCTCCCGTCCCGGCTGTGGAAGTCCAGGAGCTGCCCGTAGACGCAGTCCCGCAGCGGCTTCAGGACGCACTTGTACAGGGCCGCCTCCACCACGGAGCCTGTGGGGGGGATGGAGAGAGGGGGGCGGGGGGTCAGGCAGGGGGTGTCCAGCACAGGGCAAGAGCTTGGGGGCTCCGGATTAGGAACCTCGTCTCCATTGGGCCTGCTACATGGGGGCTGGGGCCCAGGAGGGCAGAGGCAGCTGCAAAAGTGACAAGGGGAGTGGGGTCTAGTGGTTAGAGCTGGGGGGGGGGTGTGGAAGCCAGGACTCCTGGGTTCTCTCCCCAGCTCTGGGAGGAGAGTGGGGGCTGGTGGTTAGAGCAGGGAGGGGGCTGGGAGCCAGGACTCCTGGGTTCTCTCCCCAGCTCGGGGAGGGGGAGGGGAGTGCGACACCACACACCCTAACCCCAGAGCACTTTGTTCTCTCCGTTAAAGCATCGCTAACACCGAATGCCGCCCCGTCTTGTGGAGCTGGGACCCGTTCTCCACGGCTCTGCCCGAACCGCCTGGCTCCCCGGCCCTGGCACCAAGCTGTCCTCCCCCAGGAGTGGGGGGAGCCTCACAGCACCAAGGGGCCAGGCCCGGTTCCCCTTTAAGAGCTCTCCTCCCTTCCGCCCCCCCCAGTCCCCGTCCGCCACCCCCCCAGCCCTCGGCTTCCTGCCCAGGCGCTCACTGACACCCCGGAGCAGGAGCGGATGCTGCAGCGGGCTGGGGGCGGTTTGACCACAGTGGCCTTTCCGGCTGCATTTATAGACAGCGCTTCTCTTCCTGGAGGGGCTATTTATAACCCCGGGGCGGGGTGGGGGGGTGTGGCGCTACTAGCTTACCCGTGACAGGCTCCATCTCGGGGGGGGGGGGGAATCTATTCAGGGGCCCTTCCCCCCACCAATTGCCAGAGCCAACCAAGATCGGGTGCAGTCTGGGCAACCTTCCCCCCTCCCCGCAGCACATCTCACCCCAACCCCAGCGATGCGGGGGGGGGAGAGGGGGGGGGAGAAGAGAGA